ATGCTCGGTGTCTGTTCCTCTTTTAGCATGTCAGTCATCGAAAAGCCCTGCTCTATGTGTGCATTCGCTTGCGTCTTCCGTTTTAATTTTTATGTTCACTCTTACAAAGTCGTAAGTGTCGGTGTCCGTGTCGTTTGGGTCATCCTTACGTCGTATGATATACGACGTAAGGTGTCAAAACCTTTGAGAACGTATACATCCCATCGTTTTGGATAGGCAAGCGGAAGATACAGCACCATACAAACGCGCTGGTAAAAGCTACGCCGTAAGTTATGACGTAAAATTAGTGGTTCACGGGCTCATTTTACAGTAACAGAGGGGCTAATTCTCGACTGAGATCTGCCCAATTACTAAAAACTAAGATGTATTCACTCCAGTACTTCGTTAATTATGTAAGTGCATTTTGCAACGATTAAGATAGCTAGCTATCTGATATTGTATCAGGGCAGGCAACAAAATGTCCTTGTGTTATTAAAAAAGCACACAAAATTGTAATAACAGCTTTCATTTTGTCGTTTCCCGTAGCACAGTTAAAGCCATCGAATCTCCCTGTCACGACCTAGCATGCACGAAAGGAGCTGTAAGCTCGGACAATCTCAGCTTTTGCTGGCCTTCTTCATCAAAGTTATTCGAGTCGAGCCAGCGCTCGAATGCCTTTTTGAGCCCCCTATTCCAGTCCCGGTCAATGATCGCAAACCATGTTGTGCTGCGGTCGCGACCCTTGTACACAATGGCTTGGCGAAACAAACCTTCGTATGTGAACCCGAAGCGGATAGCGGCGTTTCGCGACGGGTAGTTGTAGCTGTCACACTTCCACTCGAGACGGCGGTAGCCGAGCTGGAAGGCCTTGACAGCCAGAAGAAAGATAGCTTCTGTTGCAGCTCGGGTCTTAACTAGTGCGAGAGAATAGTAGACGTGGCCGACCTCCACAACACCGTTCTAAGGGTCAATACGGAGATAGGATACGAATCCTACAGCATGTCCATCGACGATGATGGCGTAGAACTGAGGGTCTTTCGAATGTTCTGAATTCTTGCACCAATTCTTGAACTCGTCAAAGCTCAAAATGAGCCGTATGGCATGTACGTCCAGCGGCTATTATCGGGGTCCGCCGCCAGGGCGGTCCAAATCTCTTTGGCGAGCTTGCAGTGGTTCAAGCTGACAGTAGTCCCCCTTCATTGTCAAGTGTGAGGGAAACGGAGGAGGATTCCAGTCGTCCAACGAGAGGCCAACAGCTTGTCCGAAAGCGTTAACTGTAGACATGACGAGCTGAATGGAAAGGCAGCAACGAGTGTGACCAAGGTGGGTGAAGATGAAGTGAGTCAGCCGAGACTTTGCAGTCTGCTGAAGGCTACAGTATTTTAATCTGCGGTACAGATGTTAGCCGTACGATTTCAATTTTTATATAATCACTTCGTACGTAATCATCTTAAGATGGCCTGGAGAGTCGAAGTTTTTTTTATATAATATTGTTTAGACTACAGTACGCTCGATAAAAAAATGTGGCATTGATACACGTGTAGTAAAATAAATCACCCCAAAGTTTCCGGAGCTGCACGATATATCCAGAGTCGTGCAGGAGGGACGAATACGCACAACTATATAATACAGGATTCTGACTAAACTTGCCTAGAACAGTGCATCTTCTGGGCGTGCATTGCAATGCCCTATTTTATTAATGTGGTCCTGATAAATTTACGCTTGATTTTCGATGGGGATACTAATTAATACTACTTCCGCTCGGAAAATAAATCACCTTCCCTAAAATGCCACATTAGCTATGCCAAGCAAGACTGCATTCAAGGAGCTTTGACCTTTGAGTATAGACCCGGGCTTTAATGCTCAAATTGCTCAACTGCGGTCCACTACACTATCACATGCAATAATTGGGGGTCGTTGCAAGCTGTCTAGCAGCTAACGTTGCCTTCAGCAGGCAGCGCAGCGCACATCAACGTCTGTCACGACGGACACACGATTAAGATCATTAATAGCGAAAGAGATGCCCTTGCTGACTCATCTGTCCTCACGCATTCCACCCTTAGCTGTAGGGGCCTCCGTTCACCACCACAGCGCCGTCGCTCCTTATGTCCCTTTGCTGATCTTGCGAAGTGAGCGATGCAAATAGGCGAGAGATTCAAACAGCCAACAGTTTTGCACGGAATATATCGCCTTAGACGGGTATCCGTTTAGCACACTGCTTAAACACTTTTACAGGGGTATGAAGTTTAAGCAGTCTGTAATCGTTTGGGTAAGGTGATTTATTAGAGAGGTTGTGCAACTATTACAAAACTGCGAAATTGCCCAGTCAGGAGATATCCGATTTAAAGGGGATTGTTCGTTAGAAAAACCTTGTGCTGCTGTCATCTTCAAAAATAACAGGAAGGAATGGACAGTGAGAGCAGTATCTCTGAAGATGATGATGTTGTGGTTGTGCTCCTCATGCGCGAAGCCAATCGACCTTCACGTTCCCGGTTCAATTTTGAACGATCTCAGACTGATCCAGTCTGGCGCGAGAAGTTCCGATTTGACAAGTAGGAAATTATGCTGCTTGTACAGCTTTTGAATCTACCTGAGCCTTTCCCTACTACACAGCGATATTATGTTGCAGCGCTTGAAGCGCTATGTATCTTCCTACGGCGAATTGCTTACACAGTACGGCTCGGCGACTTAGAAGACCTATTCGGACGTGATATCACTGCGATTTCGTCCATTTCTAATGCCGTTCTTGACTTTATTTACGACAAATTCAACTATCTCCTCGAATTCGACCACTCAAGGTGCACAGTTATCGGCAGACGAACAAGAGTTTAACGCGCGCATGAGTTCGGCTCGAGTAAGCGTTAAATGGGGCTTTGGTAAAGTTATTCGCTACTGGGCTTTCGTTGATTTTGCAAGATGTACGTCGCTGGTGCGTTTTTTACAAACGTACACACTTGCCTGCGTGGCAGCCAGACCTCATCATTCTTTGCAATGACACCATCAACAGTTGAACGGTACTTAGGACTTCAATAAGCATCTCAACTTTTATTTGGATATTTTTTTCTATCAACTGAACCATAAGACCCATTTGCGATGACATCATCGCTAGCATTCTGTCTGTTTTGTCCTTGTCTTGCTGTTGCCGCTGCTCTTTAAGCGCGAGTCTTCGTTTGTCAAGTTGTAGTTGCCGCTCTTTCAACGAGTGTCTATTGTTGCGCGATGAAGCGCGGTCCTCGAGGAAACCTAGCAATGCATCCGTACTTGACCGCTTTTTCTTTTTGGTTGAAGGTGGCGTAGCTAACTCCGTGTCTGAGCTGAGAGATCGTTTGCTACGCATGCCTTGCATGGCGCTACGAACTATGTCAGCAGACGCAGCTTCACAACGCTCAGCATCTAGTTTTTCTTTTTCAGTTTTGCCTTTTGTTGTGCATGTCCCTCTGTCTACATATAAGAAAGAGAATGACTTAGCTTTACGCAGATTAAGAAACACAACATTACATCGTACCAGCGCAAAACAGTCTGTAAGTAGCTGCTCTCGTTCTTCGTAGTCTTCTGTTGTACCTGATGCCCTTAACGACTCCAACTCCTCTCGTTTGTATATTTTTATGAGCGTGTAAAAGCGACGACGACACGCTTTGCCGTCGGCAGTGCACAATGGCAGAGCTGCTTTTATCCCACTGGCGACCTTGCCCCATGATGCCTCTGTTTTGCCATGCCCAGCTGCCCATGGCGTATGCTTGATCACCTCCTTTAACAGAATGACGTCGCTGGAGGGGAGAAAGCGAAAGGCCTTCTTTCTCTTTTTCTGCGCGGAGTCATCAGCCGCGTCGCCAGAAGCTCCGTCAGCTGTATCGGTGTTCGCGACGTCCCCCCCCCAGGAGCGCAATCTTTATCTGTTGCTTCTAGAGCTTCGTCAGTGAGGGTGCTTGCTCCTGCTTCCATGGCGCTGCGTCAGATCAAGGCGTTTTTGCTTCTGCTACTGTTCGTGGTCAGTGAATGGTCTGTCATTTGCGTGTACAGTGAGCAAGGCATCACTGTGCTTTGTCTTAACCAGTTTTGACAGTGAATCTCCTACCCCTAAGTCATAGCAGCTCACGAGGCAAACTCACTGTTATATGACAGCAGAACAACCTCTCTATTTTCCGAGCGGAGTTAGGACTGTATAAAATTTGAAACATGCCACTGTCCTCTTAGAACAACATCGTATGTCCCTTCTTCACGTCATTACTGATACACGCCGACCCTTATTAGCGCAGCAGTTGAAATATGTTTCACGGCTTATTGTCGTTTGACAGCCTCGCCTTGAACAGTCTACTGTAGTGGTCCATCATCTGACCCGATTTGTCCGAGCTCAACCAATGGGCGATGGACAGGGGTTGTTTCTTCTCGTCAAGCCATCTCGTGAGCAGCAATAGCTCCAAGTTTGTGGCAATTGTATTCGTGGTCGGATCCTTCTTGGCTGCGACGAGCATCTCAACTAGGGCCTTATCGACGTAGTTTTTCCTGAGCGTGTTGAGCATTGTCATCTTCTGTCCGGGATACTTTTCGTTGACGTATCAGACCCAAAAAGACAAGACTGGATCCGAGAGAAGTGGTCCTGGTTGCTCATAAATCGTTTTCAGCCCTATGAACTGAAATACTTCACTGGGCGTAAGTGTTTGTTCGTCTAGCTTTGCAAACAGATTATTCTTCATTTGTATGGAAAAAGCTTTTGTTGATTTGTCGCTCTGTCCCGCCTCAAGTATGTGCGCCAGGCCACCATATCCCAGTCCGTCAAACAACTTATCGAACAGCTTCTTCGGCTGTTCATTGCCACTTTCCATATGCTTGAGCCAGGATCGCAAGACCTGCTCTGAGGGGAATTTACCCTTGGCAGGCTGAAGTAAGTGGAACACGTCTAACGGAGACATACCGAGATGCTTCCAGTCCGTCATTCGCTGATTTTGCAATACCGCAGTAAGCGTATTCGCGGAGTGGTCTTTCATAGCGATGTTAAGTATTGATGACAGCTGAGCGTCCCCCTAGTGGGAGGTTAGTACTGAGAAGGCTGAGCCTGCTTGTAGTGGGTCCTTCAATTGTTCGAGTGTTTGCGCCATACCTTTCTCACCAAGGCCACGAGATAGTATCTCAATAAAATTCGAATTTATCTTGTAGTTTTGAGAGTGGAAATCATCCACATACTTGAGCCAAACAGGAAAAACGGGATCCAGGAGCGTATCACTTTTGGAAAGGTGAATTAGCTCGAAGACGTCCAGCGGCGTTTTCTTAAGTTGTTTCCAATCTTGTAGTCGCTGCGCCTGCAATTCCAGCGCAAGCGCCTTCGTGTTTTGATCTTTCACGGCGGCTTTTTTTTTAAGCATTTCTGAAAGCTTAGCGCTACCAAAGCGATCGATTAGCAGAGATGCCGCCGAAACTCGTTCTGGATTGGGCTTCTTCGTATTCAAGTCATTCACATATTTCACCCAAAGAAGAAAATTCGGGTTTGTCAACAAATTTCGCTGTACTAGCTGTAGTCCCAGCATTTCAAACACTTTACCTCCGGACACGCTGTGTTTGAGCCAATCGTGGAGTTTTGGCTGGCTCAGAATTTTGTTGATCCTTGTCTTAATCTTCGCAATAATAGGATTCGCACCAAAGTTGAGCCCCCTCTCGTCGTTATTCTGATCAATGCCAGCAATCGTGTCGAACCTTACGAACCTCGCTGCAGGACCATTGACCTTCGTGGCGTCAGCGCCAACCACTGCCGAGAGAGCCGTAATTACTAGAAGTATGACTGCAGTGCGCTGAATAGCGACAACCATCGCACAATGTAGCCAACTAAGCGCTTAAAGGTAGATTGCGAAGTTAGTTTATTGAAAGCAAACGATTATCGTTTCTACTTCCTACTCTTCACTGGCGGCGTGCTTCGGGGCAGCACTCGCCACCAACCGTTGTTCCTTGATTATGCACCGCTGTTGACGCGGCACGAGGGCTCACTAAAGAACTCTCTTGGTCATCTTATAGATCAGCAGCAGGCTTTAAGACTGACGAGTATTTGCTGTAGTATTTCACTGTCATTCAGACAAATGCGGTCGAGATTGAAAACTGCAGACGGTTGCAGCTGTTTAATGTTGAAAAAACGAAATCAAGGTATTTGTTCTTGCTCTCTACCGATAGCCTCGTCTACATCGTGCGTCTAGTAAACCTACCGCCTGTAACGCTGAATTAATGCGCTCAGAAGTGCCAACTCACGACGCCAACTGTCCCGTACCCGGGAACTAAGTGGTCATTCCAGGAGCTGTGCATCCCGGCGGGATTACCCGAGACCATGTGGCTACTCCTCGCCCGGCCGTCCCGTCAGGATGGTTCCCGTTGAACTTGACGGCTCATGTGCCCCTGACCGAGCCCGTTAGAGTGGTTCAATAAGGTGATCTAAGAACGCCGATGCTCTAGTGTCGTGGGACCAAAACACCTAGCGTCATTAAGCCCCTTCCCAGAACTCCTTGTTGTCCCACGGGGCTGACGACGGTTCGAGTGGCAAGAAACGTACTTAAGTGGAAAATATCATAAAATATCATAGTATTTTTTAAACTCGTAGTTAGTATTTAAAATGTTATGTTAAGTTTTGAAAAACTAAATTACAATTGATGTTTAAAATTGAAAAATATTATTACTATCAAAAATATCATATGATGTTTGGTTACCGGTACCCTGCTGCCGCATCATCATGTGCAAGGACGATCAACCAACTACGACAAGCAACCGCGAGGTCCGCATCAACATTTCGACTGCATAATCTACATGTAACATCCGGAACGCTATCCGTAGCTTTCAATCGTTCTACTCGGAAGGAGCGTCGGTGGAAAAGGCTCGATCATTCAGGGAGGCATTCGAGAGCGCAACTATCGGATAGGATAAACCTCTGCGACTCAGTGCATTCCGGGAGTGCTTGAGGAGTAAGGTCGGCGAAGATTGGTGGATGTACTCGCGCATCAACAGCTTCAAGACCCTGAGAACTCGGCTCCACAACCAGTTCATTAGTCAAACCCCGTTGCAACTGTTCGAGAACCTTAAGAACACTAAGCGACCCCGGGGAATGTCCGCCGAAGTGTGGGGTGACATGATTTCGAGCCTCGGCGATGATGCACAGTGCTACGATTCTCAAATGCGTTACCAATACTTCTTGTCTGGACTTCGGAACCGAGATTGGAGGAACGCTCTTACCACGACCATAACTGACTCCATCCCTGCGGCTGTGGCCATGTTGCTCCTCAAGTATATGCATCCTCCTGTCGAAGATGACTCCGAGTTCGATAATGTTCCGTCCCCTAGAGCTTCCCAAGACAACGCTGTCCTCGAACGCATGGTAAACATGATGCAGCAGACGCAGAATCTACTCGCTCAACAGCAGCAGCAACAACTTCAACAACAACAGCATTTGATGGAGCGTCCCTTAGCGGCCTCCTATGCTACTCTGGCGATGAATGTGGCTGCACCCTACTCTCCTCCGGATCCGAACGCTTTCCTGTCTTATCAGCCTACCGGAACGCTTCCTATTACGCATATACGAGAGGTTCGTGTCGGACCTGACTTGCGCACTCAAGATGGTGCTCTCGTGTGTGGTCGATGTCACACTCTGGGGTGTAGTCGAATTCTGGACCATGTGGCTACTCCTCGCCCGGCCGTCCCGTCAGGATGGTTCCCGTTGAACTTGACGGCTCATGTGCCCCTGACCGAGCCCGTTAGAGTGGTTCAATAAGGTGATCTAAGAACGCCGATTCTCTAGTGTCGTGGGACCAAAACACCTAGCGTCATCAAGCCCCTTCCCAGAACTCCTTGTTGTCCCACGGGGGCTGACGACGGTTCGAGTGGCAAGAAACGTACTTAAGTGGAAAATATCATAAAATATCATAGTATTTTTTAAACTCGTAGTTAGTATTTAAAATGTTATGTTAAGTTTTGAAAAACTAAATTACAATTGATGTTTAAAATTGAAAAATATTATTACTATCAAAAATATCATATGATGTTTGGTTACCGGTACCCTGCTGCCGCATCATCATGTGCAAGGACGATCAACCGACTACGACAAGCAACCCCGAGGTCCGCATCAACATTTCGACTGCATAATCTACATGTAACATCCGGAACGCTATCCGTAGCTTTCAATCGTTCTACTCGGAAGGAGCGTCGGTGGAAAAGGCTCGATCATTCAGGGAGGCATTCGAGAGCGCAACTATCGGATAGGATAAACCTCTGCGACTCAGTGCATTCCGGGAGTGCTTGAGAGGTAAGGTCGGCGAAGATTGGTGGATGTACTCGCGCATCAACAGCTTCAAGACCCTGAGAACTCGGCTCCACAACCAGTTCATTAGTCAAACCCCGTTGCAACTGTTCGAGAACCTTAAGAACACTAAGCGACCCCGGGGAATGTCCGCCGAAGTGTGGGGTGACATGATTTCGAGCCTCGGCGATGATGCACAGTGCTACGATTCTCAAATGCGTTACAAATACTTCTTGTCTGGACTTCGGAACCGAGATTGGAGGAACGCTCGTACCACGACCATAACTGACTCCATCCCTGCGGCTGTGGCCATGTTGCTCCTCAAGTATATGCATCCTCCTGTCGAAGATGACTCCGAGTTCGATAATGTTCCGTCCCCTAGAGCTTCCCAAGACAACGCTGTCCTCGAACGCATGATAAACATGATGCAGCAGACGCAGAATCTACTCGCTCAACAGCAGCAGCAACAACTTCAACAACAACAGCATTTGATGGAGCGTCCCTTAGCGGCCTCCTATGCTACTCTGGCGATGAATGTGGCTGCACCCTACTCTCCTCCGGATCCGAACGCTTTCCTGTCTTATCAGCCTACCGGAACGCTTCCTATTACGCATATAAGAGAGGTTCGTGTCGGACCTGACTTGCGCACTCAAGATGGTGCTCTCGTGTGTGGTCGATGTCACACTCTGGGGTGTAGTCGAATTCTAGACCATGTGGCTACTCCTCGCCCGGCCGTCCCGTCAGGATGGTTCTCGTTGAACTTGACGGCTCATGTGCCCCTGACCGAGCCCGTTAGAGTGGTTCAATAAGGTGATCTAAGAACGCCGATTCTCTAGTGTCGTGGGACCAAAACACCTAGCGTCATCAAGCCCCTTCCCAGAACTCCTTGTTGTCCCACGAGGGCTGACGACGGTTCGAGTGGCAAGAAACGTACTTAAGTGGAAAATATCATAAAATATCATAGTATTTTTTAAACTCGTAGTTAGTATTTAAAATGTTATGTTAAGTTTTGAAAAACTAAATTACAATTGATGTTTAAAATTGAAAAATATTATTACTATCAAAAATATCATATGATGTTTGGTTACCGGTACCCTGCTGCCGCATCATCATGTGCAAGGACGATCAACCAACTACGACAAGCAACCGCGAGGTCCGCATCAACATTTCGACTGCATAATCTACATGTAACATCCGGAACGCTATCCGTAGCTTTCAATCGTTCTACTCGGAAGGAGCGTCGGTGGAAAAGGCTCGATCATTCAGGGAGGCATTCGAGAGCGCAACTATCGGATAGGATAAACCTCTGCGACTCAGTGCATTCCGGGAGTGCTTGAGAGGTAAGGTCGGCGAAGATTGGTGGATGTACTCGCGCATCAACAGCTTCAAGACCCTGAGAACTCGGCTCCACAACCAGTTCATTAGTCAAACCCCGTTGCAACTGTTCGAGAACCTTAAGAACACTAAGCGACCCCGGGGAATGTCCGCCGAAGTGTGGGGTGACATGATTTCGAGCCTCGGCGATGATGCACAGTGCTACGATTCTCAAATGCGTTACAAATACTTCTTGTCTGGACTTCGGAACCGAGATTGGAGGAACGCTCTTACCACGACCATAACTGACTCCATCCCTGCGGCTGTGGCCATGTTGCTCCTCAAGTATATGCATCCTCCTGTCGAAGATGACTCCGAGTTCGATAATGTTCCGTCCCCTAGAGCTTCCCAAGAGAACGCTGTCCTCGAACGCATGATAAACATGATGCAGCAGACGCAGAATCTACTCGCTCAACAGCAGCAGCAACAACTTCAACAACAACAGCATTTGATGGAGCGTCCCTTAGCGGCCTCCTATGCTACTCTGGCGATGAATGTGGCTGCACCCTACTCTCCTCCGGATCCGAACGCTTTCCTGTCTTATCAGCCTACCGGAACGCTTCCTATTACGCATATAAGAGAGGTTCGTGTCGGACCTGACTTGCGCACTCAAGATGGTGCTCTCGTGTGTGGTCGATGTCACACTCTGGGGTGTAGTCGAATTCTAGACCATGTGGCTACTCCTCGCCCGGCCGTCCCGTCAGGATGGTTCCCGTTGAACTTGACGGCTCATGTGCCCCTGACCGAGCCCGTTAGAGTGGTTCAATAAGGTGATCTAAGAACGCCGATTCTCTAGTGTCGTGGGACCAAAACACCTAGCGTCATCAAGCCCCTTCCCAGAACTCCTTGTTGTCCCACGAGGGCTGACGACGGTTCGAGTGGCAAGAAACGTACTTAAGTGGAAAATATCATAAAATATCATAGTATTTTTTAAACTCGTAGTTAGTATTTAAAATGTTATGTTAAGTTTTGAAAAACTAAATTACAATTGATGTTTAAAATTGAAAAATATTATTACTATCAAAAATATCATATGATGTTTGGTTACCGGTACCCTGCTGCCGCATCATCATGTGCAAGGACGATCAACCAACTACGACAAGCAACCGCGAGGTCCGCATCAACATTTCGACTGCATAATCTACATGTAACATCCGGAACGCT